GGTAGGGTAGGGTAGGGTAGGGTAGGGTAGGGTAGGGTAGGGTAGGGTAGGGTAGGGTAGGGTAGGGTAACCCTACTTTTGCTGGGTTACATTATTGTATCTAGTCAGACGCGTGATATCGTCAACGTCCGACTGGCTTTCCTATGGGGAACATCGAATGTTTCTCCCGCGGGACGCTTTTCATCTGCATGCAAGGGCGTTAGGGCATGCAGGAAGCGTTACATTGGGAAATTGAATGCCGCGCGGTCGCTAGAGAACACGTTACGTTATAGAGAGACCATATGTCGCTCGCTGGAAAAAGACGCGGAAGAAAATATAAGTAGGGATAAGTATTCAATTAGCATAGATCTGATGGGATTCGTCTCTCTGTCAGCGCGAAACGTGTATAATCATGCAATACAACAACAACAACAACAACAACAACAACAACAACAACAACAACAACAACAACAACAACAACAACAACACCAACAACAACACCAACAACAACAACAACACAACAACAACAACAACAGCAAATCTGTCGCCATTTTCAGTTATAGGTAGAGCGTGTTATAGGCCCTATTATAGTTCTAACAAGAGCGTATTAAGCTTAATTGCTCGTAGTTCTATATATCAATGTAGCCTCAAACGTGGTTGTTACCCATATGACGAGTAAAATCGGATTTCTCGAATTTCGCCGCGTGCGTCTATATTATAAAATGATTGTAAGGTTGCGAGAAAACATTAATTTTGCAGGTCCACAAACCTGTGTTTCCTTATCAAACAGGGAATAATTGTTTAGCTACATATAAAATTAGTAGTAAATATATCTAGGGGGAGAATGACTGCAAGCGGCGTGAAGGTCTGCCAAAAACACAAAGAAAAGTCTACATACTAGCCTTTGTCTACCCATGATTTACCAAGCTTAAATCAGTAAGCATGAACTCAAACCTTACATTAAACAAATACTCAGTCTCTTGTCTCATCGTTTTACCATACATAACTACAATCCAGAGAAATAAGCGTGAATATGCTACATTCATACAATCATGGTGAACTCACAGTAACACGCATGCACTCTCTCATTAAAAAAATAACAGCTAGTGACAGACATCTCACGGGAACGTTATTACGGCATTTTGCAGGGAATCTATTTGTACAGTCGCAGGTTTTTTAATCACATTCTAGATGTTTTACGTTAATTACGTTTTACCAGATTTGATAATACTCTACTACTCCTAGGCCACTCATTCAAACCTAGTGGTTGCCATTTTATTTCACATGGACGATGAACATTGCATACATTTCCATTTCACGGCACGTGACATACTCTATACCAACTACAATGCACTGTTTTTCGCAGCCATAATATGACAACACTAATTACTGCGCGATGTGCCAACAAATGAAACTGGTCATATACATCATTCATCAGTACACCTTGCTAAATCCAAATATAAATATTCAATTACTAGTATGATTAGCTTACACATGCGCACGCCCAACTGATATTTCGCATTATTGAGAAGCCGTGTTCGGGTTATTCTTAGTCGTCCACTCAGTGCCCTGACCCTATAAACCTACCCTATGCAATATTACTTATGCATGTTAATGCTGCCAACTATACACTTGATGGCACACTACCCACATTAGCATAACGCGGTGACCGCCAGAATAAATAAATAACGATGATATATATGTAGTGCCCTCATCGCTTGGGACTTCGAACATATGTCGACAACTGACAATAAACAGCCAAAAACACGATACGCAGCCTTGAACAAAGCAGACACGAGCTTTATTACGCATGAATAATAAAATAATAAAATACCATATAAACGACATCGTACCGCAACTGTATTCCTCGCTCCTGCTGATGACTGGTTCAATTGCAGGAAAGTAATATATATTCATTAAATAAATATATATCCAATCCTATGTACAGGCCCGTTGACACCACAAGCATTCGTAATAGCTTACGAAATCACACGCGCGATACTCGTTGCAAGCACCCACGCACGCTTTAGTACGCGAACACAGTACTACCTATAACCTATATGTACGACCTAGTATGATCTGGTTCATGTCATATGCTTTATAAACATTCTTTGGCAATATTCGTTAGGTCATTACATTTGAACATATTTACCGCTAATGTGTGAGTATGTTGTCTTATTAGCGTGCTGGAACCACGCAATATGCAATGCTTGCTGTATGTTATTGCGTTCTTTCATTTCCTTGAATGAGTGAAATGCGATTATAGGTCATTATTCCTGAAAAATCTAACTATGGACAGCGATAACGGTTAATCCTACGAAAGCTCTTTTTTGATCAAACCCTCCTCTGGCAATAAAATATCACAGACATACTTATAGCCAACTTGAAACATATATACGGTATTTATGCATGGATCGCAAATAATAAATTTTTTTATAAGACGGCGATAAATTTTACTACATTGGCTGTTAAAAATAACCCATGAATAATCAATAAGGCACTGTTTAATATAGAAATGCATGCCATTTGTACCATTATATTTGTGATTATATTTTTGAACTAGTGATGCCTAGAAATGAAATAGATTATCATTAATATAGTTTATAAAATGGTTGTAATTGCTTGCAGATATATTGAAAAATACATCAGTGAGCAGAAACGTGCTTTAGAACACGACACGAGCACAAACCTTTGCAGCGCGTATCTCAGAAAGATAGCATCCGAGGAAAAAGCAGGAAACCGAACATCCAACTTTACACGTAAATCAATATATTGTTTTTATCGTAGATTTTACAGTCAGTCTATTGACAACTGAATGAACGACAAAAAACTGCCAAAAGCTGTTTTTTTGGCTCCAACTACTAGCAAGTGTGTGAAAATACGTGAGTATAAAAAAGAATGATTTAAAATTTTAATAATTACGATTCTCTTTAATGCCCGTAAAAGCTATTCAGTGACATTTTCCATCATGAATATTTTCTTAAATAAATCGATGTGTCATGCCTGTTATAGTTGTTATCAAGCTGCAGCTTTCAAGATGCGACCAGGATGGCTGTAAGCACATCCACTTGGGCCCTTTCAATAATAAAATGATTGTCAATAAACACAAATTGTATGTACTGCCAAAGTCCTAATGATTATGTATTCTCTATCGGTTAATAATTCTACGTAAATGCCGTTCGAATGCTCCTCTGCAACGCACAATCTCAACGCACGCACACCGCTGTGAACAAACTTACAGGAGGATAGAGAGAAACTCTTATCTCTCTGTGAGTTTGTGCACAGTGGCGAGCGTGCGGTAATTCTGCGTGCGGTAAGGCTGTTGTTGCAGAGAGGCATTTAAACGTCATTTACGAGGGATTATTACTAATAATACGCGCAAGAGTGTAGGTAAACATTAAGGCTTTCGTTGTAAATACAATACGTGTTGATTTACTAGATTTTTATTATTGCAACATGCCCGGGACTAAAAGCTGTATGGATCTAGCAGCGGAGGCGTGAAATGTGCTGCCTAGCGTATTCATTCTATAATCGAACAGCTGCGATCTAGTGTGAAACGTGAACACTTCTACCATTGCGTCAATGCTAGATGCTATGTTCATCAAGGCTCCATGCAGAACGGGATAAAGATCTAACGTTAGGACTCCGGCTAGGGCTCTAAACAAGAGTGACTAGCGGGAGGAATTAATTTCACAGTTAATCTTCGATACGATTTTTTTTAAATTAACAGACGAGGAGTTGAAGATGCTGATTCACAACCTGTTGGTGGCCGGTACAGAAACGTCGGCCACTCGACTCAACTGGGGGCTTATCTACCTTTCATTAAATCCACAGGTGAGATAGCTAAATGCTAAGCATCGCAACTTACTCCATCTTACGCAGTAACCCCTGTTCGCGTTTTTTCTATGCAGAAGGTATTACGGAGCTATAAGTATAAATCACTAATACATATCAGAGCTACGCCAGCTTGAAAGGCGGCAAATTATTTCCATAAGTGGCGTCATTATTTTAATTATACCGAATTTATTATTTACATTGATCTTTAGCCGATCGATGAGTGCAAGGGTTCATATATGCCTATACCGCTCAGCCTGTGACCGTGGTAAATGTTATATTAAATGTCAGCTATACCACTCCTAGCGTGGTTTCAAAGAGCAGTAACATTAACTTCGAGGTAGACGTAAGATAGCATGCATGTGCAATGACCTGGTAAATAAGTCGAGTAAACAGAGCAAAGCTTACACTAACCCAACCATGCACCGCCATGTGAATAAATTTGTGCAATTTCATATGTAAGTTTAGTGTCTAGATGTGTATTCACCGCGCTCAGCTACGACTTAATTTCCCCGTCTCCTCATCTCTTGTGTGTAGTGTAGTGAGTGAGTGAGTGAGTGAGCTACGTGAGAGAGCCAAGCCACCAACAGTGAGTGAGTGACGATTGACGATTGAATACGTAGTGCACGCTGGACGTGGAAGTGGGACGTGAGTGAGTGAGCGGTGAATGACGTGAGTGACGTGAAGTGAGTGTAGTGAGTTGAGTGACCGCGACTCGCACGCTCTCGAGTTGACTGTGAAGTGAGGAAGTGAGTTGCGTGGTGAAGTGTGAGAGTGAGTGAAGATGGTGAGTGACGTAGTGAGTCGGTCTTCCCAGTGAGTGATCGTGAGGAATCGGAGTGAGTGATGTGAGTGACGTGAGGTGACGTTTTAAGTGACGGTGAGTGAGTTATGAGTGATGTGAAGTTCCCCCCCCCGACCCCGCGCAGTGAGTGATCCTGAATGAGTTACTTCACGTGAGTGACCCGCTGTGACGCCGCATTTAAACCGAGCGCTCTCACCTCGCCCCCCCCCCACCCCCCCCCCCCCGCCCCCCCTCACCAACCCGTGACAGTTGCGGCTGACCCCCGTGCCACCATGCAGGTCTATTGAGCCGTGAGTCGACCGCCCTCGCCACCGACCAGAGACGCACGAGACGCAGCAGCACGAGAGTGACCCCGCCGCGCGACCCCGCACCCGCCCCACTCCCAGCGATGTCGACGTGCCGTGAGGTGACGGAGTGAGTGAGTGACGTGAGGTGAGTGAGTGAGTGAGTGACTGTGAGTGAGTGTAGTTGAGTGAGTGATGTGAGTGGTGAGTGAGTGGGATGTGAGTGAGTGAGTGAATCAGACACACTCACAACACACACACACCCACCCAACACACACACACGCGCGCGCACACACACACACACGCGCGCACACACGCACGCACACACACACACACACAACACACACACACACAACACACACGCGCGCGCACTAGTTATTGATCTAATCGACAGTCCTTACATTTCAGGTGCAGATTAATGTTCAACAAGAGTTGGACGAAGTAGTTGGTCGAGGAAGGCAACCGGGAATAAACGACAGGAAAAATCTTCCATATACCGAGGCAACGGTTTGGAATACTCAGATGTGGTACGCAGTGAAACAGTTAATGACATACGAAATGAAATGCTTTCGCACGAATGAGTCCAAGTTGACATCGTCTCCGCGTACGCATGCACGCACGCCCATATGCACGCCCATACGCACGCATGAAAGCACGCGTACACGCCCGAAGGCACGCATACGCACGCACTCACGCACAACACACAAACACACAAACACACACACACACACACACACACAACACACACACAGATGAGAGAGGACAGAGAGAGAGAGAGAGAGAAAAAGAGAGATGAGAGAGAGGAGAGAGAGAGAGAGAGAGAGAGAGAGAGAGCGCGAGGCGAGAGAATCACGCGCACCCCTCATATATATATATATATATATATATATATATATATATTATATATATATATATATAATATAATGTGCCTCTACACGATGTATTACAGCATAATGGCCATGTACAATACACATAGATCCCTATCTTACTCCATCGGTCATCGTTCTAAAAATTTATCTAACCACTGATGACGCTATAATCGTATAATTGCACATTAAGCGATGATATTTCTGATATTTATTTACGCCGTGTTGATTTAACCCTGTTTTCATCGTCCTCCTTCATGGAGTGTACTCCTACTTCACGAGATTTAATGTATCCGCGATAGAGCATGTCACGGCTACGTACGTTTGACCTCTATCCCATTCATATTCCGATAGTAAATGTAACTGATGTACTAGCATGTGGCTAAAACAGCGGTAATCCCGCGTCATCTGGTAAATAACCAACTATTCGGTAGACTCTCCGACAGTCTACAGAAGACGCGTGAAGTAAACCAAACATACATGCATAACTAATATAAAGCATAACTAGATAAACAATTGCAAACAGTACTGTGTATTGACACCCGCCCTATAAACCGCCAGCACTTGCATTTTTCACGAGCCGTCTCATGTTAGTAAAATAGTTGCTGTTCCGTTGTCAATAAGTGCGAATTTACGCGGAGGCTAAATATGCTTCGGCTGACGCACGTAACCAAAATTATTGAATATTCGTGAAGTCAATATGCAGACATAGAGTGCCGCACGGTGCTCTAACAACGAGCTACGTGCCATCGACATCACACATGCTGTCCGCTAGCACCTTCTTTAAATCGCGAGACCATTAAAATAAGTTTTATATGCGTTACCTAGCAGTTCATACAAGTTAGCATGAAAAAATGTCACCACTTAACCGATTAGTGATATTGGCTGGCGGTGTTGCCACTACTGTCAGAGATAACTATATATATTAATTACTATATATATAATTGTTGTGTGTGTGTGTGTCGTGTTGTGGTGCTGTTGTGCACAGCGTGTGTGCAGTGTGCGTCGTGCGTGTGCGTGTGCGTGTGCGTGTTGCGTGTGCACGGTGCGATGTGGTGTGTGTTGTGGTTTGGTGTGTGTGGTGTGGTGTGTGTGCGTTGCGTGTGCCAGTGTGGCTGTGTGTCGGTGCGTGTGGGTGTGTGGTGTGTGTGGCGTGTGTGTGTGTGTGTGTGTCGTATGGTGGGGCGGCCCGTGCCCTCTGTTCGTGCGTATGTGTGTGTGTTGTGGTGTGTGTGTGTGTGTGCTGCTTGTGTCTGTGGTTTGTGTGTGTGTGCTGGTGTGTGTTGTGTGTGTGCTGTGTGTGCGTGCGATGCGTGCGTGCCGTTGTGCAACTTGCGCTGAATAGTATAATCATCATACTTGTTTGAAATGAATAACTTAATGCACAGTTTGCGCAGCGGTCACGTTGAAGTTAAAAACGACAAAGCGACGACAAAGCACGCCAAGATGCACGGCTCAAGGGGTTTCCCCCCCCCTCGGGGCCCTTGATCGTAACAGGTACTCAGATATGTACCGCGAGGTACATATATGTAATAACAAAAGCTGTACCAGACTTGTACTACAAAGTGTATCCCTAACCCTAACACTAACGCCTAACCACCCTAACCCTAACCCTAACCCTAACCCTAAACATACCTCATATAAAAATATAAACATAATACTAAACAACCTAAAACTACCTCGGGTACATATCTGTAGTACCTGTTACGACAACGACCCTTCGTGCGATAGCACGAACACTATCTTGCACTGTATGCAACATTCTGCTGTTACACAACCTGCACCCATACCTGCGTCACTGCTACGTACACTTTTACGGTAACAGTTTCGACAGGAAAAATCCGCGGAAATACTTCCCGATATGAATCAGCAACGTGACCGATAAACATTCAATGTCGGCCATTGACAAATATCGCTCCATCGACAAATATACGCGCGCGAGAGAGAGAGAAAAAAACTCGCTATCGCTCACACATACTCGCGCCACCGACATTTCGCGGCTTGATTCCGTTCGCAGGCAACACGTCTGCTTTGGGACTTCCTCACGCTACGACACGGGCGGTAAACTTCCGCGGGTTCGACATACCAGCACGCACGATGATTATTCCACACATGGCACATCTCATGAACGATCCGAAGAAATTCACCGATCCGGAGAAGTTTCAACCGAGCCGATTCCTCGACGAACAGGGAAAGTTCATCGGCTCTCCGTTCGTCATACCGTACTCTGTCGGTAAGTCAGGCACGGTGTCATGCTGCTAAAAATCGCCTAGCAAAATAACCGGCTTTGTCTACAATAGTATAGGTCTGCTATTTAAGCATGAGCTAACAATTATTAAACAAACGATTCTTGTCGGAGTTCCCGTATTTCTAGAAATTACATATTACGCACTATTGCAGCTACTTATTACACTAATTGATATCGATTGAGAATGCGAGAATAAATTTAATATTCATTGATTTGATCATGCAAGGCTGTGCACATCACATGCTTAGTGCAGTTTGGAATGTAGTCCGTGTTGTCGTTTCATACCAAGCAAGTTTTAGAAAGTTTGCACTATTGCATAGATCGGTTCAAGAACTGGCAGTATCACGTGCGTGGCATACTAATAAAACGTTTGTTTCGCAGGCCCCCATTGATCATAACCCGCCCCATATCTCATATAAGACTATAATAGACATTTGTGGCGCTGTAAAATTTCCTTAGAATAAACGCTGGCGTGCACGCCGCGTGTAAGCACACAGAGAAGGTAAAGTTCATGATATGTGCCTCCCCTCCCCCGTGTAGACGCACGCATCGCCAGCACGATTAAAGACGTTAGCAAACAGAGCCCGAAAAAATTCTGCGATAAGCCTCACTCTTTCTACCTGCCCCGTGCACTCCCCCTCCCCGCCTTGCTCATTCACAATAAATACGGCAACGCTCTGCCGCCGCAGCGTCGCTTCCGTAATTGATTTTCTCATCCATGTTTCAGGTCCACGCGTTTGCTTGGGAAAGACGCTAGCGAACATGGAGATATACCTCGTAGTTAGCTGCATTCTGCAGAGCTTCACGCTAAAAATGGCGGAGGAAGAGCCGACGCCTGAGCTCAACCCAGACACTGTGATGCGCCACCCTCCACCGTGTAAACTCATCTTTGATCCTCGTTGACAAAAAAAGAGAGAGAGAGAGAAAGAGAGAAGGAGATCGCTATATATAGAGAAAGAGCTAGCAGGCGACAGAGAGACAGAGAGAGAAGGCGAGAGGGCGGGAGGGAGAGAAAGAAACAAACAGACATAAAGGGAGCGAGGGTAAGAGCGAGAGAGAGAGAGAGAGAGAGAGAGAGAGAGAGAATTAGAAAGAAAGAAAGAAAGAGGGAAGGGGGAGAGAAATAGAGAAAGCGCGTTAGATAAGCGGACAGAGAGAAGAGAGAGAGAGAGAGACCCAGACAGAGAGAGAAAGAGAGAGATAGACAGA